TCCTGGGGAATATCTGTCTTAGGTGAGAGTAGGCTCCAGCCTAGTCAGTGCTAAGATCTGTGTGCCTTCAGACAGTACTGCTGCCTTTAGCTTGGTGGTTGCTCTTGCATAGGAGCACCCGTGAACTGCCTCACAGAGACGGCTGCTAAGCTTTCCGGGATACCTGCAGGCTGACCGGGCCTAAGTGCACACACAGGTTGGTCTGGTCTTGAGTGTTGGCTCAGAACCATGCTTAATGGCAGCATAAATATACCCCTAGAGAGGGCAGAAGGTACAACCAGTGAGCCCCCAGAGCATCTGTTCTCAGCTGGTTTCCATCTAAGCTCTGCACCTAAAGAGTTTGAGCCTAAATTGTGCCATCTCTGCAGCTCCTGTCCTCCAGTTCAGCAGAGAAAAGTGACTCACCGTGACGTTATACCCGTGCAGATTTCTGTTCCAGTATCTTTTCTCTCAGACTCTTCAGAAAGCACATCACATAGAGCAGCTGCTTTTCCCCACAGAGAACTAGCTGCAGGAGACTTAACAGTAATACGTTGGTACCCAGCCTTCACGAAAGAGGGCTGTAAGCTGCTGATCCTGCAATAACACCTCTAAGGATTTAGAGTCTTTAATGTTGATTGCTGAATATTTCTGTTCCCCTCTGAACCATTCCAACAGTTGTTTCAAGTGAATGTATTCATTCCCTTCCTTTTAACCATTGGAGCTTCTTGCTTGGTCTGGGAGCAAGGAAGAGGGAATGAAAGGGTCTCTTCAAATTTGCTGTAGCTGCTCTCTTAAAAGAGAGCATTGACACAGATTCTGCAGCTCTCGCATGTAGTAAGACTCCCAGAGGACTTGCACGCGCAGAAAGACTGCAGGATCCTTGTGGGCACTCCAGGAAGAGTGTGGCTATTCTCCTCCCCGCTGGATGAGAGTATCGTATCTATTCCTAGCATGGATCTATCAGGTGGCAGCATTCCCCTGCCAACATACCTTTGGTTTGGCTTACCTTGAAAGCTATGATGTTATATTATATGATGACATCATTATATTTATTTCAACTTTCAATGAAGATTCCTGGCAAATCTCCGAGCTGGAATATCTTCTTTTTAATGGATCGAAGATCCAGCCAACATGGTGCAGATTACATTTATATTACACAACCCAAGTAAGGTGAACTGCTAGGAATTTTTTTAACAGCTGTTGACATTACTAAATTAAGATTATTTCTCTATTAAAACTATGGAAGAGGAAAAACTTGTCCAGTATTTATACAAACACTACTGCTCTAATTTCTAGCTGTGGTTATTTTTGTGATGACCCCATCATGCACTCATGCAATCTCAAGAATTTATCTTTGTCATGATATTTTGAAAAGGATAAAATGAATCAAATATATTTTTTCAGTTAAGTACGCATGTGAGGACACAACACTTCAATGGTATGTGTAACAACATTTTCCTAGTTGGTTCTTTTTCTTCACACTATCTGGACTAATTCTGAATGAGCTTATTACAAACGTTTGGACAACTTACTCCAGTCTACTTTTTTTATCCTTCTATCAACTGTGTTACTCTTAGCACTTTCAAATTAGCCTACAACATCACAGCTTTCGTTAAGTCACATGCTTTTCCTGATAAACAGCAGTATAAAGCATTTAAGAACGCGACATAAGATACTGTTCTGCACTGGCAAAAATAATGTCTTGAATGCTAAATCCAATACTACCAAGGAACCCCCCTTGAACACTGAGCCTTAACTTTACTAGATTTTGAACAAACACATGGTGTGAGAGAAGAAATTATTCTGGATAAAGACTAACTACGCTGACAAAGAAGACGAAGTCCTGTACTCCTCATAAGGAACTGCAGCACATAGGCTAAAGGACTCAACCGAGGTTATGCAGTCTATGGCGGAGGTAGAAATGAATTTAAATTTCCAATATTACACTTTAAGACACTAAAATTGCAAAAGAAGAAACTGAAGAGTAACTAAAAGCAAACTTTCAACCTTTCCCTTCTTATTTCTTCCCCACAGTGGTCTCTGTGAGGTCTTATGATGCCACTACACAGATCAGCAAACAAAAATTGGCTGTGTTATGAATTGATTTCAATTTAAAAGAGCCATAATTCAATTTTGCTTTAAAAACATATTACAAAATCTAATATTAAAAAGATTTGCATAGAAACATTCATCAGAAAGATATTTTATTTGTTTGGCTTGAAACACTTCCACTACAAGCCAAACATTTCAACACTAGGGCAGGAGGACCAGAAAGTGAACCTGACCAGAAACAACAGTGAAAACTACTAGTTTATTTTTGCTCTACCAGCTGACAAAATGTAGTTATTTATTTAAAAAAAAGTCACGGGCCTTGTGGATGGTGAAACCTGATTTTTTTAACCCAAAATATTCTTGTAAATTTATTAGCAACAGGGCATTACTAGTTGAGAAAGCATGTATGTACATGTGTCTTACTGATTACAATGACTATCAGATTAAAAATAAGACAGATACAGTGATAGGTATTTAGACTATATTAAAACCACACTTGTTTTACACTCACGTAGTACCCACAAATACACACACATCTCTGCACACATAAAAATTTAAAATCTTTAAGCAAACAGTCAGAGGTGGTTTCCAGATGAAGTCTCTGTTTGCCCCATTGCTCGGATCATGGACAGATAAATCACTGGGTGAGTCCCCTCGCTAAGTAGTGGGAATATTACTTTAGTAAAGTTTGCTAATGGGGCAAAGGACCTTGTATTGTAATCCAGTGACATTTTCAACCTTCGGAGAACTTTTGTTGACATTCCCGAGTCCCTGGCTGCCATCCCAGCATGAAATAGTTTCTGTTCACATAATTCTCGTGTTTACCAGTCATGAAAAACTCTTGCTTTTCGCTTTTTTTTTTTAAATAAACTTTTTTTTTTGCAAGTGAAACTCTGTCTAAAAAAATATTGGCCCCAGGCATAGAAGGTTTTGCATAAATTCATATGTGATGAATGGCTGATTTTAATGTTATTTGGGTATTTGTCAGAACCTAACAAATATACATGGTAATGGTGGTTCATAAACTTAAACATCTCAATATCCCCTTTCTTCTAGAAATAAATTACGTTTGTTTGCCCTGCCTGGAGTCCTAAGGTAGCCGACATTAGGAATATTTTAAATGTGATCATCCATCCAGCATGTCTTTCAGGCGCCACGAAGATTAAATGAAAGAATCATAAGATGAAGGTCTTTAACTTTTAATCCTTTTACAATGAACCCTTAGATAGACATGGGGGCAGGGTGCCTTCTATGTGAGTAATAATGCCTCTGTTCCTCTTCACTAGGTTAATGAATACCCTAAATGTCCCAAGATCTGATTTTTTTTCCAAACTATTGAAATTAGAAGCAAAGAGACGGGTGGTAAAACGCACGGAAAGAGACAGGGAATGAATATGCATTCGGAGATACGCGAACTAAACGTTAGAGAAAGCAGGGGTTGTGTCAATCTGGGCTGTGTCAATGAAAGACCCACGAGTTTAAAATAATTAGCATAGATTCCCTCAGAGTTTGGGGAAAAAAAAGTTTTTTGATTCCAAGATAAATAAGGAAAAGGCTTTCTGCACTGTCAGGGCGCCTTTGAAGAACACGTGGAGAGTTTGTTTTTGCAGTTGGTATCTATGAGATACTAACCGTCGGGTCTCCTGGCACGTAAAAGTCAAACGCTTCGTTAATTGCGACAGGTCCTTACAGAGCCGCGGGACAGTTACGCGCCCCGCGGAGCACAGCGCGCCCCGCGGGCCGGGGACGTTCCCCACCGCTGGCGCCCCGCTCCCCGGAGCGGACAGCGGAGCGCGGG